GAAAAAAAACTATAAAAAAAATTGAATATGAAATTAAAGAAGAAAATGAAAAAAGAAAAAGGAATGATAATAATTAGAGAGAGTGAGTTAAAAGTTTATTTTAAAAAAAGAAATGTCATAAGTTAGAGTGATAATTAAGTTTAAAAAAAAAAGAATTATGTAAAGGGATTTATTTTAGTTTATGATGGTATTTCAGTATTAGATGATAAAGATAAAGAGATAGATTTTTATGGTAATGCAGATCTTTATGAAGAAGGAGAATTGGAAGAACAAGAATTATTTAAATTTTTTAATAAAATAAATATTAAAATTTAGGTTAAAATAAGTTTAAAATATTTAAACTTAAATAACAAATCTTACAACATGTCAATTTAGATTGCCTTCTTTCTTTTACTTGAGAAACTAAAAAAATAAAGTTTAAATTTAACTAAATTTTAAAATAAATATCAAATAGAATACATTTTTAATTACTTATCAAATTTATTTTAAAATGGAGTTTTAAATTATTCTTTATATTTTTTATCAACTTTACCTACCTCCTTTTGAATTTCCTTTTGCATAAAATTTAAATAACTAAAAATATTAATTATTTATAATTTTATTTTATACAATTAGATCATTTACTTTCTTAATTAGAATTTTACTTACTTTACAATTCTTAATTATTCCTTTAAACTTACTTGATATTACATCAGTATAACATCTGTATTAAATTCTTCTTTAATATTATCTGCAACATCTTTCCAAAAAGGTAACTTTGATCTTTCAAGATTAAACCAATATTCTTTATTTCTGTTTCTCCTTTTATTGATCAATAATTTAACTTTATTATTATTCTAATCGATTGTGTTTGGCATTTTTGATAATTGAAAATTTAAAAATTGTTAAATTTAATTTTTTAACAATTAAAAAAAAAGAAAAAAAATACTTATAAATTTATATAAAATTATATTGATATATGTCAGAAATTTGAAAAATTTTGCATATAATGAGTAATTTTATTTAGTCAAAATTATTTAATAATTTCAAATAGTAATCATAATTCTAATTTATACATTATGTATAATCCAATTTATAAAATTATCTAATAATTACAATTTTGATAAAATTACTAAATTTATGTGATTTCAATTTTTCATTTCAAAAGGAAATACAATTTTTAATGATAATATTCAGATAATCACCTCTGATTTACCTTTGATTTATTCTTATTTTACTATTAGTTATTCTATATAGAAATTTTCTGAATAATTAAAAATTTTTTTTTTAGATTTACGTGATTTTTAACTAAAATTTTACAAAAACTATCTAAATTTTATTATTCTAATTTAATATCAGAAATAATACCATCATTAAAATATCATTAAGGTAAATAACACTAAATTGTTATATGGTCAAAAAATTATTGATAATCTAGAAAATCTAGATTACAGATTAAGAACAATATTAAATTTATTTAATCAACAAATTTTATATTGTAATCTAGATTTTTGATAAAATTTAAATAATGTGATTTGGTTTTCTAATAAAAGGTTAATATTTTATTTTAAAATAAAATTGTATTATTACTTTAAAAGTATGCTACCTTTAAAGTTTACAAAAAGAATACACATTTCTTTAACTAAATTACAATGTAAAAAAATTTATAATTATACTAATAATAATCCTAATAAAACTCAAAATAATATTACTTTTTTTAATACGCAATAGACTTTAAATATAGACTGAACAACAGTATCTAAATATTAAAAAAAAAAGATACTTTTTAGCAATTAAAGATAATATTATTTATGCTACTTTTAAATATTCACGTTAAATTAAAGTTCTCTTAATTAATAAGATGTTAAAAATTTGGGTTGGTCAGGCTCTTAGTAGTTGTATGTTTAACCTAAATACAATTTTAAAAGAAAAAGCTATTTTTTGCAAATAATTTGGGTGTGCCTAAAAATACTTTAACTTTTTAAATGGTTAGATTACACAATTTAAGAAAAGAAATAACCTTCGATATCATAAATTATATGGAGAATCAGCAAGTGCTCTATTGAAAATATTACCTTAAAAATGAGAAAAACTTTAGTAAATTTTATAATGATCTAGCTTAGATGATGTTTATAATGCTGATAAAACTAGTTTATTTTTTTATATACCTTCTAATAAAACTCTTGCATATAAATCTATTAATAAAATTAAAAAAGTACGATTTTTTATGTTCTTATTTTATTCCTATTTGTATATATCGTTAATATTAATTAATTAAATGTTGTTACTTGTTATTCTTGTATTAATAGTAGTACGTTACTAAAAATTTCTTTTATTTTTTACTAATAGGATAAAACTAGAGTAACTGTAATACCAGCATTAAATACATTTGGAAATCACAAGTAGAAACTATTAGTAATTGATAGATCCTTGAAGTCACAAGCTTTTTATAGCATTCAAACTTCCTGACTTTCAGTTACGTATAAAGCAAATAAAAAGGCATAGATGAAATATGATATTTTTAATAGATGAGTTAATGAATTAGATCATAAATTTCATCTTCAAGGCTGACATATTATTTTAATTATTGATAATATTTCATCACATAAATTCGTTACTTTTTCTAATGAAAATAAAGTAATAATAATTATGATGATGATAATGATGATAATGATGAAGATGATTTTAATAATAATTTTTACTAATGATGAATCTTGAGAATCTTCAGAAGATAATGAAACAAATAATTGTAAACAAAAAGGTCATAGTTCATCAAACAGGAAAGGTAGTGAAGTAAAAAAAAGATAGCATTAAACTTACCAATATCTGAATTATATTTCTTTTATTAAATATGATATTAAACTTTAACCGATAGATGCTGAAATTATATAAAATTTTAAGGTATAGTATATTTGTTTACTGAAAATAGAAACAGAAATTGTTATAAATTTGGATAATAATTAAAGTTTTATTAAATAAATTTATTTATAATTATTAAATATAGATCAAATACAAGTAATTATATATTCAATATTTAATTGAAGAATTTGATCAAAGTGCTAATATACGCAAGTAAGTATTTTTTATTTTTTTATGTTTTTTATTTTTGTATAAAATTACTTATATTTACTTAATATAAAAATAAATTAAACATTAAATAAGCAATTGATTATATTATAAAAGCTTGAAAAAGTATAAAACAGCAAACCATACACAATTGCTAGAATAAAACTAGAATTATATCTAATTATAATTCTGAATCAATATGATGAGAATTGAGTGTACTTATTAATGAAATTTCAGATATAATTCTAACAATTTTTATTGACAATGAAATCTGTAATAGTTTAAAAAATTATATTTATGATCAAACTTTTCCATATACTAAAGAAACTTTGACTGATGAACAAATTATAGACATAATACAAGATTATGATAAAGAAGTACCTAATACTGATAATGAAGAGGAACTAATTCTAAAAGTTTTACTAAAGGAAGTACTTGATGTTATTAATATACAATATTTTCAGATTATAACTGTTAGACGCAGTATTAGAGGTTGACTCTTTTATAGTCTACGTAATAATTTTAGTTAGTTTATAATAATATTAGCTAATTCATTACCAGTTTATCAAGTTGAATCAAGTTTATTAGACACAAGCAATTTCAATTATAAGTTAAGAATTATCACGGTAAGTCAAGAAGAGTTTTAAATAAGAAAATAAGAAATACTTTATTTAAGAAAAAGGAAAATAATAAGATAATGATATATGAAAGAAATAAGAAAAGAGAAATAAGAAACAGAGATATATGAGATGAAGAATAGTATTGCACTATCTTTTACAAGAAGAAGATTCTATACAGCTGTCAGTCTTATCTTTTCTAATTGACAAAAGGGGTTATATTTATATCTATTCTATTACATATTTTGATATATCTAATATATTAATTATGTTAACTATATCAACTATATTAACTATCTCTATTATATTAACTATGTTAGACATATCTGATATGTTAGACAAATTAGTTATATTAAATATGTTAGATATGTTAAATATGTTTGACATTATCAATATTTGTATTTCATCACACAATTGTAAATTTATGATTGTTAAGATCGATATCTGATCACAATGCAATCAAAAAAGTAATTCTCTTTTATGAATAACTACCTATCAATGATGAATATAAAATAGATGATTTTAGACATTATATTTTAGATTTGAAAGTATGTTATATTACATCTTTATAATAAAAGTCAATTGAAGATTATTTTCCTACTAATTAAACATTTAATATTGTATATATAATTTTGATTTTAGTAATATATTTAATATAATTATATAATAAATAATATGTCTATTGATTAATAACATTGATATATTATATATTTCTTATAGTTTTTTTATTTATATTTTACCATTAAAAAAATTTTTTTTGTTTATAATCATATTTCATTATAGTCATAAAATATAGAATATCCCAAATGTATAACTATAATAAGAGTTAACTATAGTAATAAAATTCTTGAAAAAAATTTAATTATTAATAATTAACTATTTACAATAATTAAATGTTAAGAATTTAAAGAATTAATAAAATTATGCAATAATAAAGCTAAACTTCCTTTAGCAAATACTATTTGAAATAATGTTTTAAAATTATATAATAATTATTAATATACAGTATATAAAATACAAAATTGCAAGTTAATAAATATTAAAAGTTTATATTTGTTTTAAAATTTTAAAATATACAATTTTATAAATATTATATTAAATGTTAAAACCAATATATCTTATGTTAAATTATGCATTAAAACTTCAAGAAGTAAGTAATTTATTAAAAATAAAATTAGAAATAAGAAAATATCTAATTTATTTTATTAATATTTTATTAGCTCTTCTCATTAGATCAGCAGAGTAAATATTAATTATAATCAACCCTTATATAACAGTTAGTATATTTTATTTTGTGTAATAATATATATAACATATATTAAGGATTAAAATGTTAATTCAGACATCAAAGAGATCGATAAAAATAGGATTAGGTAGAGAAGAGGAAGGAATTATAAAGTCATCTGCCATTCTATGGTAAATGCAATCCAGAGGAATTTTAATAACATATTGTTCAGGTAGAATATTTATCAGATTGCCTTGCCAGTTTATAGTCCTAAACTCATACTAAATAAAAAAAATATTAAATTCATTTAATTCTATACTGATAAAGCATGAAAAAGTAATATACCATTACAGAGACATGTGTATCAGCATTTGTTTGATTATTTACACAATAATGTCATGTTTGTTAAAGGATAAATATTCAATTAGTATTAAAGAAACTATACAGAAAACCTTTATATAATTACTTACTGTCATCTCTATTAGAATTGTATTATTTAGATTGTAGTTTAGTTTAATTGCAATTGTATTGTGAACTCTATTTGGAAGAAACCAGTAATTCTCGATTTTATCTTTGAGTTTTCACTCATCTTGAATATAAGTAATTTCTATTATAAGATTAGGCCAAAGTTGATTCTAAAGTAAATTATGTTACCTATATAAGAAATTTAACAAAATCGCATCAATAAATAAACAGGTTAAAAGTGTTTTATACTATTCTATTATATCTACCACTAATCACTTGAGATTTTTCAAAAGGTTAAAATAATACATCTGACTCTTTGCCTCCTCCTCAATGTGTTTTTGTTACTATTAGTTAATAATAATAAGTAATGGAATTAGAATAAGAAAATGATAGAACAATAATAATCACTTGTTATATCACAATACTTAATATAAGCAGGAGTGTTCTTTATGGGATTAAATACTATACTAAATATCTTTTATAATTTTATGAATAGGATCTTTATAAAAGTTTGAAGAAAATTTGATAATACAAACAGTTCTATTATCTCACTTCCAAAAATTCTTTACATTATGTTTATCTGTTTAAAAAATATAATTATCTAATATAATGTCTTTCATAAGCTCATATAGCAAACTGCCAATATTTATAAACTAATATTAATTATTAGTTTATAACATATTGAATTATTAAAATAAATAGAAGACTTACTTCACTTTATTTCATTTCGCTTTTTGATGAAAGTTTCCAGTTTTTCACTAAAACTGGTAATATTTTTTCAGTTCTTCTGATTCTGAAACACTATGAGAGGTCAAAGCTGTCAAAGCTATCATATTGCTAAGAGAGGCAGAACTGAAAGAAGTCAAATTCAATATTTCACTATACATAGTTATTTTTGACAAATACACTACAATCCCTTAAAATTTTGATGTACAAAATAAGAAATTCACATACCTCTCAAAATGGTTAATGATAATAATACAAAGATTCTAACTTCTTATTTCAAAGAGATGCCATATCAAGTATAAAGTGAATTAAAGTATTAATCATACAATCAAATTATTAAAACTTTACATCATAAATAATTATACTCTATATGACTTCTTGTTTATTAATAATACGTGTTCAAAACTATGATAATTATCTTTATTATCTAAAATTATATTTATTAGTAAGATAAAAACAATACACAATAGTTATCTTATCTCTTCAAATTACTCTAATGATGTAGAAGGGGGTATGAAAAGCCATTGATTCAGAGCTTTATGATGTGATTATCTGATTCTAAGAATTTCTATATGAATCAGACTGGAGAAGAAGGATACTAAAAAGGTATTTGAATTAATATTTAGCTAGATTTAAAATAAATAAATTCTTATTATTGCAACAATATAGATGAAGATTTTAAAAACAGCTTAGAGAAATTAGTTAATAAAAATTCTGATAAATCTATAGATTTAAATCACCTAATCTATAATATACTTTTGCATGAAGAGATAGCTCAATTAGAAGAAATTAATTGCAAAACAATTATTGAGATATCAACATAAAGAGATATATTTAATACATGTTAATAAAGGTGATTATATAACCCATGTCATATGATTTAGTACAATGACCGCAGTATATATCAATCTATTAATGTAGTAAAATAAGCATCTTATACTATTTTCACTTAAAAGTTCTGCTATATACTTTTACTATTAATTAAAATATATATAAATAAATTACTAATCTCTATATATATAGTATATTTTTTTCTCATTCAAATCTATATAAATTTGAATCCTGATATTCTTTAGATAAAATTATATATAGTCATATAATCAGTTCCTTAATTATAATTTTATTAGATAAAAGAATTTAATGAGAATAATTGTGAAGAATATACTATGTATAGTAGGTATAGATGCTTGCTGAAACTTTTTCAAAATAATTTTGTCATACCCTTTTCTATGTTATTAATATAGTTTTGATAGTTTTAGCTTTTGTCGTATTGAATGGATTTTGTCATATCTCTTATTATAATTTTAATATAGTTTTATCTAAGTTTTGACTGTTATTAAGTAGTTTTGTCTCTTATCTATAACAGTGAGATATTAAAATCACCAGATACTTAAAATTACAAAATTGATAGAAATTTTAGTTCAAATTCAACTTCTATATTAATTTAATCAATTTTAATAAAGAATCTTTTTAACTGTAACTGGTGATGATTATCACCATATTATATAATACTATTAGAATTTAAATTTAGCATTAAAAAATTAAGAATATATTATTTCAAATGAATTAAAATAAATAGAGACTAATAAAAATAATGTTTAAAAGTATAACGTATTTAAACTTAGATTGTAGTACATTCAATGAAATTTTTTAAAGGATTTTAGCGACTGAAGGGAGCTGAGCTCAAATTATTACTGTAATTCAAACCAGTAGGCTTAAATTATAGTAGTAATTTGAGCCTGGCTAATTTAAGAACATTTGCATTATATCAAGTTAACAGAAAAAACTACAATTCTGCTTTGTATACACATACTCCTGATGATAACTTGTGATTGAAAAGATTTATATGCTAAAGACATCCAATTTTCCTAGAGAAATTAGATATTAATTCACTAGAATGACTATATTCAAATATTCTATGGTGAACAATCCCATTGTTAACATTAATACATTTATAGCATAAAAATCCAATTGTTTTTTTTATATCAGTTTAGTTATACTTCAGCTTTTTACAATGTTGAAAAGAATCACTGAATGGTAGATTTAGTTATTTCTTTTATAAATTTAATTTGACTTTCTCATTATAATCTATATCATTTTAAAGGTAGTTCTATTTATTTTCAATAGAAATAAATTATTTAAAGCCTAATTATGAAGAAAACAAATATTAAAATCAAAGATTTACCTTTCATAATTATATCATAATAAAATAAAAGGTAAAAAGGGAAAAAAGAAATGATGAGAAAAAATTAGTTTTTCACATTACGTAATTTTCATATATATTATTTGTTATATGATACCAGTAATCATAATCGTACAGTGATTACAATTAATTTTCTTTAATAAATAAGCAAAACTGTATATACATATTTTATAAATTTCTCTTCTTCTTCATTATCCAAAATAGTTGTATTATTTGTAAAATCAATATTTTCGGTATTGTTATTATTACTTAAAAAATAATTTTTTAATTCTGAAATTGTAGGATATATTAAGCTAAGTGTAACATAATTATTTTCTCCTAAAATTGTGATTACCTCTTCTAATATACTAAGTAAATCAACTAAATTTTTCATAAAAATCCATTCTTCATCAGAAAGGTTAAATTTTTTAATTGACGTCTATCTTTTTTAATATTATTGTTCTGATCGCATGTTAAATCAATTGCTAATTGATCAATAGCATCCTTTAAGTAAAAAAGACATTCTTAAGCTAAAAATAAGGAATTCCATCTTGTAGATACATTCTGAATTACTTTTACTTCATTTATATAACCCAGATTTTTTTGTGTCGCTAATAAATGCTTAAGTTGTTTAGGATATTGAAAAAATCTAATTAAACATTTTGCACATGCAATAAAAATAATAGTTAGTTCTAATGCTTTACCAACTACCAATTGGAGAGTATATGCTGAACATAGAATTCTACTAATAGAAGGTAAATATGATATTGCTTTTACCATATTTTTTCCATTATCACTAGTTATAGCTACAATA